CCTAACATCTCTTATTTTCATCACTTTGGATGTACATGTTACATCTTAAACAATAAAGTCTATCTGAAGAAATTTGATGCCAAAGCTCAAAAGAGTATTTTTTAGGATACTCTGAACGCTCTAAGGCATACAAGGTGTATAACTCTGAAACCAGAATGGTTGTCGAGTCAATACATATCAAATTTGATGACAAAGAGCCTGACAGTGTAATGTTAGAGCTAGTTGAAATATTTTTAGAGTTTCACATATCATGAAACTCTCCAAAAGCCGATGAATCAGAAGCTATAACCCATTCAGAAGTTGAATTTTCAGAAGTTAGGGGTTTAGAAACTGAATTTTCAGAAGTTAGGGGTTCAGAAACTAGATGTTCAGAAGTTGGTGATACGTAACTAAACCCAACTTCTGAAACACAACCAGAGGAAGCAAGTTCTGAAGAAGCTCCCTGTGACTCTTAAGAAACTGCACAATCCAAAAAGACCTTCAAGTACAAGTCTTATCATCTAGAAGAGTTAATCATTGGAAACAAATATAGTCATTTGAAAATAAGATTTGCATTTAGAGAGGAGCATTCAATGCTGAGACTCATCTTCAGGATTGAACTAACTTCTGTTGATGAAGACTTATCAAATGATGGATGAATTGTAGCAATGCAAGAAAAACTGAACTAGTTTCAAAGGAATGATGTGTGGGATTTGATTCTCATACCTCACTAGAAGAACATCATTGGAACAAAATGGATGTTCAGAAACAAGCTATATGAATAAGGAGAGGTGGTAAGAAACAAAGCTAGATAAATCGGTTTACCTATCTATGTAGTTTAATTTTCATTCTCTCTGCCAAAACAAATTTTGTGAAAATGCATAGGTAAATCGATTTCCCTCTCATGTAAAATGACTTACCATTTCAAATTTTCCAATGTAAATAGATTTCTCCACTCATGTAAATCTTCAAATTTTTTAACGTTGTAATCAAGTAAATCGATTTAGCTCTTTAACATTTGGAAAATTCTGAAACTTTTCACATCTTTCCAAATTATTGCATTATATTTTTTAATTATTTCTAAAACGCTGCCATGAGTCTTAAGGTTATCATGTGTCAATATAAATAGCAGAATTTTTCTTTGAAAAATCACATATTTATTCAAATTTCCATAACAATTCTACTGCATAATTTTTCAAACTCTTGAAAACTTTTATGCATAACTTTTTTATATCAGATAAAAGTTTCTTGAACACTTAGAGTTAATAAATCTGGATTGTTATATTGAAAGGGAAGACAAATGTTGGAATTTGGTTGTGTATAGAAATTCTCTTGTACTCAAATTCATCTTCAATTATCCGTAACATTGTATTGTTGCTTGTTTGTTAAGTTTGTGGAAACAAGTGTTTTAGAGAGAAAATAAAGTTCTTTCTGTTTGTGTTGTAAAATCTGAAGGTGGTGTGCCTTCTTGATTATGTTAGAAAGTTAATAGAGTCTTGGTGCGAGGCTGTAACATTTTTTAACATAGTGAAATCTCTAATAGGGCATGAGAAAATTAAAGTACTCTTGTTAAGATAGAGTATCCAGAATATATCGTTGTGTTCTTTACGTTATGCATTTAAAATTATGTATTTTACTTCACATGTTCATAAAAATATTTTTAGAAAAATAAGAACATAAAAACATTCTTTTAAAAACGAGAATAATCCAATAAATCTAATTCAACCATCTCGTAAATTACATTATATACTTACAATTTATGCAAATGGGTAGTAACAAGAAGTTAACTAGTAAATAGTATGACGTTATATAAAGGATGTAACACATGTTTGTAAAAATCTAATTCCCTCAATTCTATTTCAATAATATACTCTTTTTCTTCTCATCAGTCTCTAATTCTCCTTTTATCATCATCATTTGTCAAATACACGTTAATTATCGTTCGGGTTCTTATAGTAGTTATATTTTTCTAATTTGAATGCGATTATTTTATTTTACTTTCATGTTTTTTTTGGCAACTTTTAGCAGCATTCTATTTTCAAATTTAATTTAAAAAAATCATATAAATGATTTAAGTTGATTGAGTGAGCATATATATGTACATTAAAGTGACATGGAATGAAATTAGATTTTTCTTATCGTATATATCTTTGTATTAGTAAATTGTATAAAGAATAAAGAATTGGAAGGAGACGGCGTGATAGAAGTGACACGTAGGTAAGGTATAAAGCCGAAGCAAGTGGTTTTGAGGACGAAGCGGAAGGTTCGGAGGACACAGCTGGAGACAGGCTGTCACCAACAAAGTCCCACTCATCACACCTCTCTCTCTCCTTCTTCCTTTCATTCCCATTTCTCCCATTCTCTCTTCCTCATCTCTTTCTCCCATTCTCCCGATTAGGGTTTTCTCACCGCTTCCTCCTCCATTCTCCTCCCTCGATCAACATTATCGCCACTGTAAGCATCTTTTCTTCATACTCTTTATGCTTTCTTCAGATTTATCTTATCTATGGATTTGCCCTACCTTTCTTTATTACTCCACGCATTTCCTCTTCCATTTCTTAGATTTCAACTTCGATCAAAACATTAACGCTATATTTCTATCTTCAAACACCGCAACAATTTTAACATACGCGACTTCCTTTTTTATCTTCAATGTTGTTAATCCCCATTCACGTTTTCTGCAAACCATCTCTCTTTCATTTTCTTTCATACCTACTTCTTTTATATTCATGCTATCGTCATTAACTTGCACAGCATTATGTCTTCAATTTCCCATGCTTTTGATTGGTTTTCTGAAATGAAACCAAGTTACTGCATATTTTTTTTGCTTGAATGTAATTTAAGTGAGTCTCTCTGCTGTTTTTAAGTTAATGTTTCTTTTGTCCACCACAAATCCGACATATGTTTGAAGCTTCTATTTTGTCATAGGCCAATCTGACAAACCTTCAAAACTTCTATTTTTTGATATTGTTCATTTATAGGCCGGAATGAGTAAAAGACCTATAATTTATTAGTTTTTTTTTCAATGGTAAGTGTTAGTATTAAATTTAGAGTTGTTAGCGTTATGTTCTGAATGATTACAAAAGTCGGTGTTATGTTCCGAATGATTATAAAAGTCGGCGTTATGTTCCGAATGATTACATTGTCGGCGTTATGTTTCAAATGATTACTATGTTTCAAATGGTTCCAAAGTCGGCGTTATGTTTCGAATGCTTACAAAGTCAGAGTTATGTTTCGAATGCTTACAAAGTCAGAGTTATGTTTCGAATGCTTACAAAGTCAGCGTTATGTTTCGAATGGTTACAAAGTCGGTGTTATGTTTCGAATGGTTACAAAGTCGACGTTATGTTTCAAATGGTTACAAAGTCAGCGTTATGTTTCAAATGGTTACAAAGTCGGCGTTATGTTTCGAATGGTTACAAAGTCGGCGTTATGTTTCGAATGATTACAAAGTCGGCGTTATGTTTCGAATGATTACAAAGTCGGCTCATGTTTCCAATTATTACAAAGTCGGCGTTGTGTTTCCAATTATTACAGAGTCGGCGTTGTGTTTCCAATTATTACATATTCGGCTTTGTGTTTCCAATTATTACATATTCGGCTTTGTGTTTCCAATTATTACAAAGTCGGCTTTATGTTTCCAATTATTACAAAGTTGGCATTATGTTTCCAATGATTACAAAGTCGGCGTTATGTTTCCAATGATTACAAAGTCGGCGTTATGTTTCCAATGATTACAAAGTCGGCGTTATGTTTCCAATGATTACAAAGTCAGCGTTATGTTCCGAATGATAACAAAAAATAAATTTAGTGTTATGTTAGGGTTGGGGATCGAACCCGCTTTTTTATCATTCTACTCTTTAGTCCCTGCGATTTGAATCTGACTGAACAATGTATAAAGCTAGTGGTGAATAATATATGTATACGCAGCTGCTTGCATGACATGAATTTTGCATATTAATTTTAACGATGGAGCATGCTTATTTAATATCTCATTTTCACTCACAATCCATGTAAATTTAATGCTGAGTCTCATGCAATTTTGTTAAATAGCCTCTATGGAGGTGTTGTACTGCTTTGCTCAACGGAATTTGGACAAACCACTATTGTTTTACGTAACACTATTTAGTATAAAAGTTGTCAAATAGTTCCTATAGCGACGCTGTAGCACTATTGCATAGCTGAATTTTATAAATCAGCTATTTTCCGCTATCCACATTTGACAACGCGGGTGTCGTGATGATATTGTATGCTTTTATAAATTAGTTTCCTTTCTTATTTTGTTTTTGCATTGCCACTCTGTTGGTGTGTTAGCATTCATTCATTAATAGTTTATGTTTTTTGCGATTCACAAGTCTCTCCTGTTAGTTTTGTTAGATTATCTTTATTGCATTCATCTAAGACCAGAGATTGCACAAATATTTGTTTCACGTTTGTGACATTTAATTTTACAATATGCTATTTTCCACTTTTCACAATTGACAGCACCAGCCTCATGATGATACCGTTTGCTATTATAAATTAGTTTCCTTTTTTATTTGGATTTTGCATTGCCACTTTGTTCGTGTGTGAGCTTTCATTCATTAATTATTTAAACTTTTTTATGATTCACAATTACAAGTCTCCCCCTTTAGTTTCCTTGGAATTTCTTTACTGCATTAATCTGAGACTATAGATTGAACAAATATTTGTTTCAGTTTTCTGACATTTTTTTTGTGTGTTGTTTGTAGATGCTTGAATTGGGGGATAAATCCTAGTGCATTTCTGCTGTAGATGTATCACCCATACACATTTCACTGGTATGAAATCATGGAAGAGTGCTAGATGATTGATAAGTGATGTTATGTAATCATCTATCCTGGGTGGTTACACATATCTGAATTGAGTTCAATAATCAACTCTATTATTGATATTGGGAACTCAGTTTGTTATACGTTAGTTCTGGGTAAAAAGCATAAGCCCCAGAGGATTTCCGCTATCCATGCTGGGAGAGAGCATGCGTGGAATCTGTATATCGGGTAATGCCCCTGTCGAGATTTGCTGCCGAAGCATTCGGTGTGGTGACGATTTGTGTAGTAGCCATCTTGATTCTTCTTGGGTTGATATGCATTGCTTACTCCTTCTACTTCCGCTCGCGTATTAATAGTCAAGGTTTTGTTCAGCTCAATTATTTTAGTGGTCCTTGGATAATTAGAATAGCATTCATCCTATTTGTTTTCTGGTGGGGTCTAGGTGAGATTATTCGGTTAACTTTGTTAAGACGTGCCCTGCACTTAAAATGGAAGGAAACTGTTTGCAAATGTTACATTGTATCGAGCATGGGATTTGCAGAACCGTGCCTCTTCCTCACACTTGTGTTTCTACTCCGTGCACCCTTGCAGAGGTTGGAAACTGGAATTATGAGCCAAAAATGGAATTTGAAGACATCTGGGTACATTATTCTTTACTGCCTTCCAATGTTTCTACTCCAGCTTTTTGTTATTTGGGTTGGCCCTCAGTTAGACAAGAATAAGGGTATTTTGAAAAAATTGCCGCATTATTTTACGAGTACAGTTGGCTCCTCTTCAGTGGCAGGGGGGAATGATGATATTGCACTCTGTACTTACCCTTTACTTAGTACTGTTCTCCTTGGCCTCTTTGCCGTTATCCTGACTTCCTACCTTTTTTGGCTTGGTAGTCGGATTTTGAAATTAGTCATCAACAAAGGTCTGCAAAAAAGGGTCTACACATTGCTGTTCTCTGTTTTGTGTTTTCTTCCATTAAGGGTTCTTTTTCTTGGTTTATCTGTTTTATCTGAACCTGAGAATTTAATGTTTGAAGCCTTAGTTTTCTTGGCTTTTCTTGCACTTGTATGTTGTTCTGGGCTGTGCATGTGCACACTTGTGTACCGTCCAATTGCAGATTGTTTAGCACTGGGAAATCTACAAGACTTGGAGGCTAGGACTAGGAGGTTTAATGATGAACATAATGATACTGTATCCCTTATTGCTAACCAGAGTCATCCTGAAGATAATGTTGAGGAAAATGCTCGGCCTAGTCCTGGTAGGTATTCTGATGAATCAACAAAGCGGGGATCAATTTCATTTCGGACAATGGAAAAGGGTGTCGGTTCAACTGGAACATTTGTAGAACTTAGCCTATTCTCTCCCAGCCGCAGTGCAACACCTCCCGGATCTCCGTCTATTCCAGGTTGGCCCATGCAATCTCCAACCCAAGTTATGGGACCATAGCAGCTAGGAACTGAATATGTTGGGTGAATATCAATTTTTGGAAAAGAAAAAACTGATTGTAAAGGGTTTAGCTTCAATAAGGCTTTTTTCTTTTGGGTTCTGTTTGCTAATTCTAGGTATATAATGTTTTTGCCCTAGAAATTATTGAGTACATCTTTTTTATTTGTGCTGCTATATTGATAACTTTTTCCTGCCGGGTTGTATTTTTGTACTTTAAATGTTAGAACACCATTACTTACAATTATATATTCTCTGCAAAATCACCTTTTGATCATGATTACTTCAATTAGCTGTCTAGGCTAGTGTGTATATTGATCATAATTAAAATAGAAACTTTGCATAATATTTATAATGAATCTTAGTACTAAAAATTCGGACACTAATGTAGGTCAATGTACTTTGGATTTCCACTTTATTATGGAATAAAACTGATCATTGCTGAGAGTGGACCCTGTAAAATATTGAGTTAAAGTGGAGTACTTTACTAAAGATGGATATGCAGATACGAAGAATTATTTATTATGTTCAAATAATTCAACTGATGCTTAGGTAGCATTAAAACTTTTTTTGCAAGCTTAAATGGATTTATTGATGAACGTTGTTTTTCTTAAGCAGACGCACTAGTAAAGAAATTATTATAGTATCCACCACACATCTATCCAATAGAGGGAGGAAGATGAAGGGAGTTTTTAAGTTCATCCATACTACTACTGGCCATCATGGCTGAGACACAACTTGTTTTAATATAATTCCTTCCCTCCCGTTGTTAAAAATTCACACAAGGGAAAACCTTTTTTTTCCCTTCTTTTTGACAACGTAAAGCAATTTTTTTTTTTGTTGCCAAGAACTGAAAACCATGTTTAATGCAAAGACAAACAATTTTGATATCCTGTGGAAAAGAAACCAATTTTGATATAAAACATTCTATTGAATAAAATGTTCGATTTTGTGAGTAATACTGGTTATTCCAACATCTTTCATACTGAATTGGTGATGCTATATTATTGTTTGTGCGTGATTTAGAAATTTGAGATTAAAGAGCTGAAGTGTTATTCTGACTCCAACTTTCCTATCAAACTTATTCTAGATTTTGTTGTTATATGACATCACTATCTGACAATTCTTTACAACATTAAAGATTTTTTCTTTAGGGAATGACAAATTCAAATATTTCATATTCTTAAAGAGGAGAATGTTTGTGCTCTTTATCTAAAAAAAATATGAGGTTGATAATAATGCAGTGTACCGATCTTTTGCAGAACCTCCTTATTATTTAGCTAACGTTAGTGGAATTTTATTTTCTAAATATTTTCTAAATAAACTCTTACTTTTTGATTAAAACAACAATTAAATGATTTTAGAGCCTAGTTAGTTGATTACGGTATGCATAAATAATAAACGTTTTTAAGCAATATAATCGATTAGATTTATAGTCTAATTGATTAGGTGATGATTAATCAATTCTATAATGGATTATGACTAGGGGCAAAATAGGCCCGAACTGTTAGGCATTTCGGCCGCACTTTAGTGCGGTGCGAGACAAGGATTTAAACCCGCATCCTTTAATTTGTCCGTCCTATCCCACCTTTTTTTTGTGGGCTTTTGCGGGCACAAACACTAACATAATTTTTTTCTTTTTAGGCTTAAAAGACACAGTGCTTGCGGCCTCGTCCCACTCTCACTTTTAGTGTGGAGCGGGGTAAAGCTTTAGCCTCGCACCCTCAACTACATCCACCGCGCCACATCCTATTTTTGGGGGGCTTTGTAGGATCTAATTGGGACGGGCATGCCCGTTTGCCACTCTAATCGATTTGGTAATTTATTTGGCCCATAAATTGTTTCAAAATTTACACTGTTTCTTGGCATATAATAAATAAAAAGTTTTTCTATCATTTCAAATCATCTAGAAAATGTGAAAAATATCACTTTTCATTTCTCTCAAATTTCTCAATTATTTCTATTCTCACATATTTTAGTCATATTCTTGGGTTTAGTGAGGAGTTTTATTCTAGGTGAGAGCTTAATTATAAATTACAAACAATAGATTTTTATCTTGAGTAAATTATTCTTTCTTAGGAAGTGATTATTTTTCTTAGGAAGTGATTATTTTTGTTGGGAGATAAACCATAATATAAATCTTTGTTTCTTTTGGGAGATTAGTACAAGTCTCCATTTGATTCGTGAACTCCTCCATTGAAGAAAATATCCCTTTTGGATTCATGAAGATTAACCAACGAAAAATGTTCACAATGGTTCTTCAGTTTAGCCCAACCAATTAGTTCGAGATCAGCCTGGTGTAAAATCTTACTTGGTTTCTCAGTTCAACTCACTTAAAGGCTTATTAGGTTTGAGATTAGTCTAGTAAAAATCTTGGTTTAGTTCGTGGTCATCCTATATAAAACATCATTTTGGTTTGAAGGAGAGCTAACTCAAAATTTCATATTGGTTGGAGATCAACCTGTGCAAAATCTCTATTTGGCTTAGTGAATAACTGCTGAAGGCTCTGTTCGTTGTTTGGTTTGGAGACTAATCGCTTCAAGTCTCAGTTCATTGTTTGGTTGGAAGTTAGCCTGAAATTTCATTTTCTTGTATATAGAGGGGTTTATGTGCTTAGCCTTCTAAAAGCTCTAAAGTAATATCAGATAACCTCAAGATCAATTCTTGGGAGAGGAGTGGGTCACGTCATCAGGCTGAACTTCTATGAATTTCTAGTGTGGTTCTTGTTGATCTATGCGTTTGCAGACAATGAAGATCAGCATCTGAAGTTTTGATGACGATAACCCATTACAATATCTTTTAATTCGGATAATAACCAAAGCATCTTATGACTCATCAATAGAGGACTTAAGATCAAGTGCCTATACAATCAGATAATATCGAGCAAAAGTCTTGAAGCTTCTTTGC